GAAATGGTTTTGTTTCCTAACTTTGAGGTCACTAAGGTTTCAATCCTTCGCTCATTTCGCAAGCATAGTCAATAGAAACAGGCTATGGAGCAAGGCAACTTATTTACATTGCTTCAGTCCCAGCTGTATCAATGGGTACCAACAAACAGCTGGGAGTAACCTGTGGTGGTTTAGCGTCCCACACATGGGTGGCAAACGCTCTCATCAACTTCAGGCTACAGAAACCGGAAATAAACTCCATCCCCTATGGGCCCAGTGGCTTGGCAAGGATTCACTTTACTTTTTGTTAGATGTGTTCTAAGAGACCAAAGCTGCTAAAAGGACTTAAACGACAACATGCATTCTTAATAATTTTATTTTTATTGTCATAGAACAATTTATAGCAATAATTTGCAATGCAAATTTAATGTATTTGTAACATGAAATCAGTAAAATGTAATTAAAGGAACATTCTTTCTGTTGGATGGATGTTGCATGAATAGACTAAACGACTTATATTAAAAAGGGTGAAACACATGCAGTAGGCATGTTCCCTCGAAATCATTTCGTTCCCTCGAAATAGTTTAATAATTTTTATAACTATGGCCCTTTAGGGTCTCCATAGTTTTACATTGTTGAAAACGATAATACCTAAAATATTTTATGTTTAATATTAAGTCGCAATCTAAAATGAACATAAAAATTATACTTTCTCCACATTTTAAATTTCTTTTCAATATCGTTATCATTAGGCTTAATGTTGCATTCCGTTTTACTTTTATTTATAAACACATTATAAATACAAAGTATTAGCATTATAAATACATTTTATATTTTGTTTCTCATCTATAAAATCATCATCATCAGCTGTAAGTAAAACTGCTCTGGTTAAAAATGGCAAGTAAAAAATACTTTGCCAGAAAGGCTATCGCCTTAAAATCTAAAATCAGTCTGTCGCCCTCTCTGGAACTCGGACTGTCTTGTCAGGCGAATCAGCTGTTACGTAATGCTGAGCTGGTAGAGAGTTTATAAGAAGTGAATACGCCTTTTTCACGAATCGGTAGACATCTTGAAGTGATGACAAACATTGCGAATCAGCGGTGCGTAACCAACAGAAATAAGATAAGCTTTTGGGCTGATTTTATTCGCTCAAATTAATTGGAAATCTGTGTACCATTTTTACTAGGACTAATTTACCAAAAGAAGTAATGGCGTTTCCAGATTTTCCTTTCGACAATAATTTACCATCGTTTATTGGTCATCAAGATGTTTTAAAGTATCTTGTTAATTACTGCAACGCCTATGAGTTAAACAAATTTATAAAGGTAAGAATATTTATTTACAGGCCCGCATGCAGGGGGTGCGATGGCTGTGTACGCCCCCCCCCCCTTTCCCAAATTACAAAAGGTCCACATTTCCTGGTGTATAAAATTCAAGACACACTCTCACATGCTCCAGAAATCCATCCACCAAAAATGCTTGACCAATCAGAGCAGTTTCCAACTAGGACTGCCTCTAATTTGTCATGCAAGCAAGGCCTTCTAACTGTACTTATAATAAGCTTTTTGAGTAATTTTAGAGTTTTTCCCCGCCGTTGTGTGTCAATAACTCGCTATGTACAAAACTCATCTTCTCTCTGAGCTATATACGGTAGGTTTCACTAGAATTATCTTTATTCCCGTTCAAGTCTGCGAGTGCCATGTCCGGCCATCTAGAGGTGCTATAATCATTAATTTTCTTTCCATCAACCCCAACCATGGTGGGGCCCGCTGAGGTTGGTGGACCCTGGCCAATATTTCTGTGAAAGTCCCTCATTGGACCCCCTCTATTTTCGAATAACTGAATCCGCAACGGCCCCATACAGTATGTTAAAGTCCCTATCTGGCCCGAAAGAGTGTGGAAGTATTTGCTTAAAAACAACCACAAAGTGATTTATTGCTTTCCCTATCCCGTTCCCAATCAGATCAGAATATAGGCTTATTTTATGAATTCTCGATTTTTTATATTTTTGACGTCTACCCATCTCATCCACGACGTAAAGCGCTTGTCTTTATTTGTTCATATTCGCAATTTCCATTAATTTCATTTATTTATAATATAACATTTACATTTCTGGTAAAAATTTAGTATTTTCAATAGCTAATAATATTTTTTTTTTTTCATTGTGCGCTAGACCTACTTTTATTTCTATTATGTTTAAATTTATTAATGTTTTATTTACCTTGTTCTATAATTTTACATTGTCTATTGACACATGCAGTGAAAATGTAAAACATCATGTGGTTGGAATCGGCACGTTTCACATCAAGGCTATGTGTATGTCCAATTTGTAGGGATTTATTTTACCCTGACCTCGACTGATTTACGGTTCTTAAAATTTTAATCGTTAATGAATGTTAACCCGTAGTAGAATTAATGACATTTCCACAGTGTTTTTAATTAGATTGATTTAATTTTGCTATAGATCAGTTTACTTAACATATCAAAGTTTATATTCATCGTTAGGCCCTCGACATTTTTGATAGACTACAGAACATTTGAAATAAGAACACTGAAAAGTGTTTGCTCTCAAAACCCTGTCTCTTATACACATCTAGATGTGTATAAGAGACAGCTGATTAATGTTTTTATTGAACAGAGACTTAAACCCTCACTGTCAATTCCTTTTTGTGCGTCTGGGCAAGACACCATTTACAGTTGTCTCTACCAGTGATGTAACAAAGAAGTCTTAGGCCCTTGGCGAACGCTTCTTCGAGCCCTTATAACCTGTGGGCTGGGTTTAGTGTAGGAGGGTTTGGCAAATCCTAGCCAGCTTTGGTGCATGATGTGATATTTAAAACCCGGGTCTATTTTTTTATGTTTGATGATTTTGTGTCACTGAGCCATTGTCTGCCCACTGTAGAGAGAAGGTTGAAACCATCTGTGCAATTCCCATCCCCAACATAGGTTCGGACAGACTCCCTAAAGGGGATATAAAAAAATTTAATATTAATATTAATATCAAATTTCAGTTTCACACAAGAGTTGAAAGTGTCCAGCCACTGGTTGAGGATGGCAAGATCAGATGGAATGTGCAATTTTGTAATGTAAAAGAGAAGCATGTCCCACATGAAAAACAAGTCTTTGATGCTGTTATGGTTTGTAATGGGTGAGTGTACTTTATTCATCATATTTTTTTTCAAAAGCCTTCCGAATACTAAATTGCTGACATCACCACATCATGTGGCACCCAGTGTACCAAAAACAATATTTAGCAATTTGGCTAATTCGGTACGAGAATAATTAGCCAAACAGAAATTTGATTAGCCAAAACAAAAGAAAATAAGCAGTGAAAGCTTTAATTCCATTAGCTATTTGGCTAAGTTGAAAGAAAATATTTAACAAAATTCAACTTTTATTAAGATTTGGCTATTTTGCCAATGGCAGCTTAACACTGGACACCTCTTCGTTACTTAGCAATGGATTGAGTGCCTCCATTAGTTGAGTCACTGTATACTGAATAGCTTTTTCAACTTACATACCTCTATAAAAGACATTGTGTCTTTGATTATATATTTTAAACTGGACACCTCTTTGTTACTTAGCAATACTGGCCAAGTGGTCATTATGGATGAGTGCCTCCATAGTTGAGTCACTGTATACTGAATATCTTCTTCAACTTACATATCTCTATAAAAGACATTGTGTCTTTGTTTATATATTTTAAACTTAAATTTACAATTAAATATACATTGGGCAACTAATATTGCACAGCTTTTATAATGCTACTATAAGCGCCTCTCCATGGTGGCTAGGTAAGGCAAGATTTTTTTTTATACCTTGTTTCTTTATTTTTGCTACGCCCACCGCTGCCTTGAAATTTCCAAAAGTAAGATATGTATCGTGGGCGTCGATCGGTGGAGGACAGGGGGACACGTCCCCCTACTTTTCAAAGTAGGGGGACATCATATCGATTGTCCCTCCACTTTTCACCAATCTTCTATAATTAAAACCCCACTTTTAAAAACGTATGGAAAGAAAACAATTACGCATGACTCATGAATTTTGTCTGTTCACTTTTCCAAGTGTGGTACGTATTTTCCGGACCAAAACCAAGTAAAAACGCAATTGTTTATACATTTCGTAAACCTCTCTTAACCTCTCAAAGGGGGGGGCCAGGCCCCCCCCCCCCCAAATCCGTCCCTGCATACATAGGATTACTGTTTTTCCTAATTTCAAAAAAATTATAGTTAGTCAATTAAATTTTATATAGCCATTATTAAACTAAAAATAATTATACAGCCTTTGACATGGACATGTCTATCTATTTCGATTTAGTGGTACCAAAAGTTTACAAACTCCAATGTTTACGTGATCTACTTTCCCAAATTGTGCAAGTCCCTCCCTGTCCCCCCTCTGTTTTGCTTTCCTGGAGCCGCCATTGATAATGATAAATTAAGTAAATCACCTTTATGTTTGTAAAATCAAATGCTAACTAATGTTTTGTGTGCTCCCTATCTCCCTAGTCCTGTTTGATCGTAAATTAGACGGTATTATTTCCACTCACAATAGTGTAGTCACAATATTACTTACACAAAAGTGAAATTCAAAAAGGGGAGAAAAGCAAAAACCTCTTGGTTGATTTTAAAAGTTCTGTACATGCAAAGAGAATAAATTAATGACTGTTTTAAGTTTATCTTACTTGTTTTTTATGGTTCGAATTTTGAATACGTCACAAGCTAATCAGTAGGTAATAAATCATTTTTATGAATGTTATCCTGTGTTATCTTGTTTTTTTTTAACAAGATGTATAAAGAAATGACAAATAAATAAATAAATAATAAATAAAAATACCATTCAAAATGGGAAGTTAAGTAAGAAATAATATAATATATTAATATATTATATTTTTTACTAATAAATAAATATATATATATATATAAATATTTATATATGTATATATATACTGTCTCTTATACACATCTAGATGTGTATAAGAGACAACAATAGCAAAATTAATAGGCCTATGTTTTGATCCAAAAATTCCTAACATCCCTGGACTAGCATCCTTCACTGGCATCATCAGTCACAGCCACACCTACAGGCATGCAGAAGATTTCCAGGGAAAGAAATTGGTTGTACTTGGTGCTGGGGCATCCGGGATTGACATCGCATTGGACCTAGCTAAATTTGCGGAGTCCATCACCATAAGTCATTGGAAGAAAACATTAAAGTCCACACTGCCAGAGAACATGAAACAAAGAGCTAGCATTCAAGAGGTTGTCAAGAATGAAGTGGTGTTTTCAGATGGCTCAAGAGAAGTTGTGGATGGCATCATCTTCTGTACTGGCTATAACTATGACTTCAGCTTTCTGCATCCAGATTGTAAGTTGGCAGTGAATGATAACCGAATCACACCATTATATAAACACATTCTTCATACCCACCATCCGTCCTTGTCGTTCATTGGGATATGCTCAACGATTTGTCCATTCCCGTTGTTTAGTTGCCAGGTGCGTTTCGTGATCGCTTCACTGACCGGATCCATGCAGCTGCCAAGTAAAGAACAAATGGAACTTGATATTGAGAAGGATTACCAAAAGCGTTTAGCTGAAGGACTGCCAAACAGGCATGCTCACGCCATGGGGCCGCGACAGTGGCAGTATAACGATGATCTTTGCCATTTGGCTCATATTCAAACTGTTCCGGATGTTGTTCGAAAACTTTACGATGCCGTTCATGATGAAAGAACATGGAATGTTGCTAACTATAAAAAAAATAACTATAAATTGATTGATGACAATACATTTGACAAGTTAGAAACAGCAGTTCATTAATATTCATGATTATGCAGTTTTTCAATGTTAAATATTAAGAAGGAAGTTTAACCATTGGTGGACATAAAATGGTTCGGAGGACCAAAGTGAATTTTGATTTAATACTGAGGGTCGCACATAGCTTTCACATTTCCAGAAAAACAGTCATGCATTGCTTTTTAGTTCCTATCCATGTAATGAATTAGGAACTATTGGATTCACTATTTAGCATATGTGTGTGTGTTGATATTTATGAAAATGTACATGCGTCAATGTCATATTGGAATTGAATCTCATGTATTGTTTAAACAAATAACGTTCAATCATTCAAGCATGTAGTAATGATATGCGAAAGCATACAGGTGCAACTTACGTTCATATTTTGGGATATATCTTCCTCACTGACCTTTTACTGAACAGTGTCTACTAGTCAAATGCACCAATTTTTTCCCTTTGTTCGCATAGGTGACAGTTAAGAAAAAGTTTTCCGACATTTTCTTTTTCATCGTGACGCGAAGTTCTTTACTGTTAGCTCAGTCTGGGCTCACGCTATCCGATCGCCAACTCGCCATCAGCGTAATCTAATTTGGATTGGCGAAAAAAATCAACTGCTTTAGGCATTTTGGCAAAGCCTAAAATAAAAAAAAAGTTTTAAATACTTGCTAAAATGCATTGTTCTTTCATTTGATCTCATTTCGCCAACTCCATGCGACGTTTATTTCTTTTGTTAAAAAAGAGTTAAAAGTCAGTTAAAAGCAGGGAAACATTAACAGCAGTATAAAATTCACAATCGAGCCCTCTCTTATATATACCGGTATACAAAAGACACTTTTTCATAAGCTAAAATAAAGGAACTTCTCGTTGATGAGCTATGCTTGATAATATTATTACATATTATTTATATTTATATATTTTTTTAATATCCTTTTATATATATATTTTTTCACTTTTCATCTTTTTACTTTGTTTGCTTTTAGTAGTAGTGTTTATTCATTTGGCCTACTATTTATGGTTTCAACTTTACAATACATATTTATTAATTATTATTTTTATATTTAATTTCATTCCTCATAACATTATTTTTTCTTTTTTGTTTGGTAGTGCTGTTTTTTTCTTTGACCTCAGTTATTTTATAATAAAACTAAAATTTTCTTTCTAAAAACCAATAATGAATTTCCATCTATAACTTTTCTTACTCTATGTAGGTCAAAAGTTTAGGCAGTGCTTTTTGTTCATTTATAAAGCGAAGACAGTTTTAGGGAATAAGCCGGGGCAATAAGCAATATCAAACCAATACTGATACCAATACCAATACGGTACCGATACCGATACCAATACCAATACCGATACCATTTACGTACTTATAACCAGGATAAAAATAATTTGGTCAAAATGTCGCCAGTGTGTGTTCTCCAAATATAAATATGTGTGACATATTCACATGAAATGACAAATATCCAGCGAACACCTTATACTGTAACTACAGGTGACATATTTTACACAAACCGACGAGTACTTTACTTGGAAAATTATTCATCAATAGTTAAATCATAATGATGCGACTTATAATTTCAGCATAATAATTTATAGTTTACAAACATGATCAATACAAATATAAGACATCAACAAACATTTTTTATCGCGATGCTATCAAAGATGACATTTTGTGTATCCAGTTAGGGAGCAACGGATTAAGTTAATGACCAACCAGATAATCAATTTCAATATTATAAGGCTTATATAATGATAATGTAAACTAATTTAAAGTGTACGAAAAAAAAGCAGGGACACTTACAATGATTGCATTGCTTTCTTACGAGTCGGTTTTATAACTTGAGCTAACTTCTGTATTTAAAAGTGTATAAATATTGTTTATTATTGTTTATTATTGAAGATAAAAGTGCATGAAAACTTAGTGAATGTATGGCTGTCTTACTGTACAAGTCGACTTAACTTGAGCTGACTTGTGTTACTACAGTACCAAGAAGTAATAATGAAACTAGGGCAATGAAAGGTATACAGTATCGTATAGCTATTTATTTCAACCAATCAGCTTTTGGTGTCGGAGTAAAATTGTATGGAAAACATAATGCAATTAAAATAATATACATTTTCTTTGATATTATAGACGTTGTTTAACGGTTTTTGAAATTTTTTTTTTATGGTGGCGGCTAACCATTGTCAATAACTTGGCATATGACCGAAACATTTTATAACTATCAATGTGTATTTAAGATCTGCGTTTCCATCCCATTGTTGATGCTCTACAAAACTGCTTTTAAAAACTTTTTTTTTAAGTTCAGCGTTATTTTAATATTATTCTATTTTTTTTTTTTGCCTGTAAATCTGTAAAATACGGTATGTACGCCCTTTACCAGCCGTACTGATATGTATTTTGTTAAGAGACCTTAGGTTCCCAGGAATTAAAATTTCATCAATCGTACATAAAACCCCGCTCTTCATCTCTTTTCGTGGTTTTATTATTATTCCTGATCAACAGTACTTACTTACTTATACCTTTCCACTATGTGAATTTTCGCAATTTACTAAATCAATACAATATATCATTGTAATCACTATCACCGTCATCATCATCATCGTCGTCTTCGTCGTCATTTGTCGTCGCCGTAGTTGTTAGAACATCCTTATCATCATTACTAGAGGATGCGCTCGCTTACCCTCAAGGTAAAAGTTTAAGGAGTAGGTTTTTTAGTTTCATAAAATAACTTCAACTTTCTTTTTTCTCAAAAGTCCAAATCAAAGAGCTCAATCACCTAGCGCATAGAGGCTTTTTCGCATGATGCGCTCTACAAGTCCAACTATTATTACTATTATTATTTATTAAAAGTCACATTTTACAAACAAACGGAAATTCAATTTTTTACCCTCGAGCATAAAAGAACATAATGGAATCGCCCCTCGTATTCAGGCAGCACTTAAGTAAACAATGTGCTTAATAGACTAGGAAAAAAATAAAAAAAGAGGCCTAGAAATTAAGTTAGGGGAGTGGAATGTTAGAAGCAGTTACACCTGGTATACAAATGGCGGCCATTTTTCAAAATGCCTTCCAAATTTATCTAAAATGTGCATATAATTGGAACTAAATAAGCTACAGATATGATGTTCGTGTCTAAAATCATAATTTCTATACAGGCAACAAACCAGACATATAAAAACTACTGTCACTCATGCCAGAATGGAACATAGTTTATTTGTTTTAAAATATCCGCAAAATATACTTAAAATGGGTATAAAATAAGAATAAGTATATAAACTTACCAAAAAGTAGTCGTGTTTGGTATCGTTGGAAAGCTCTTCCGATGCTGAATAATGTATTGCAGTTATATATCAGAAACGGTAGTGTTTCATGTATTGTCCCATAAAGTCCAATTATGGCATATCATATTAAAATAAACAGGACCTATTTGCGTAACTCGTGAGCTCTCGGATGGCGGAGAAGGGTGGGGGCACTCCTACTACTACCTAACACATTACTACCAATCCTTAAGTAACGCATGTGCTTTCTGGGCGAAGTCCGAGTCCAAATGGGCCCTGGAGAGGGTTAGATACTTTTACTTACAGTAACAGTGACTATGGTGGCTTGACCAGTTATGTAATGCCTGTGTGCTTTCTAGGGAAACGCTTACTTCCTCCATGTTCAAATGAGTCCTTGAAAGGCGATGGGCCCCTACTTACTACTACCGAGCAATCTAATAATACAACCGCTTTTGTCAAAAGCGGTTGTATTATTAGATTACTACTACCGAGCAATCTAATAATACAACCGCTTTTGACAAAATTTTTTCTTTTAATTTTTAAAAAAATGTATAAGCCCCCGGGCGGCTGCATAATACCCACCTTAATGTCCGCCTCCGACTTTAAACATGTCAGTAAATAAAGAATAAAATACATGGTTATCCATCGTAGTAGGCCTATTATTAAATATTATACACAGCATGTTGAAATCGATTAAAATAATGTATACATTAAAGGCCTACTAATAATTCAGATATTCGGATGGTAAACGCCTGCAACATCATCAACTGGACCTTAAAGGACGATCGGGTCATTTTATTCAGATTGGCCTTATCATGTTTTAGAGAAACATATTTTTTTAGGTATTAAAGTAACACTTTATTAAAAACAATCAATGAATTTTGTTACTCAAACGTCTTTATATTGATATTTTCAAGCCTATTAGGTGACCTGAAGAAAAAGTGATCCAAAAGTCGTAGGCTTACTGTACAATATATTATGGCGAAAGTAAATGTTTGTCCGTCTCTGAATTTTAATAGTGTTACTATAATAGAGCAGCCTATTATTAGATATTGGAATGGTACCTTATAGATTTATAACCAGGTAGCAGAGCAGCTTAGCTCAGTTGCCTAAACTGGTGGTAGCCTCTGTGTGCGCTAAAACGTGGGGATCTCTAGGTCTCCGATTCAAATAAAATCAAATCATTCTTTATTCATCACTCAAAATGGGTTGAATTTTACAAAAGTAAAGGGTTCAAGCAGAAAGATTTAAACAATCAACATTTAAATATTTTTCAACAAATAGACCCACATCACAATAACAGCAAAAGGAAACAGGTTTAAACGGCAAAAAGGCAACCGATATTAAAATTATTATTATTATTATTATTATTATTATTATTATTATTATTATTATTATTATTATTATTATAAAATTATTATTATTATTATTATTATTATTATTATTATTACTATTATTATTATTATTGTAGTGAGATTATTATAGTTATTTTAATTACTGACTTAAAAATGAACAAAGCATTCGCCTGTACAGGGAGTCCTTTCCACTGAGCCTTTTGGAGGATAAATTCTTTTTAAGTTTTCTAAAATGGAAATTGGAAGGGGCTTTAGGAATGAGGTAGTGTATTGAATTCCCATCACTGCTCTTCCTTGTATTTCAGTTGAAGGGCTGAAATGCAAGTTACGATAGCGCACCGTCTTTCGGATGAGACATTTAACCTATTGGTTCCGTGTGCATTATGTGTGCACGTTAAAGAACGCAGTATACTAATTGGAAATGAGTAGGAAATTGTTTCCCGATGTACAGTGGTGTAACGACTATGCGCTCTTATGCGGCGGTCCGCAGGGACCCCATCACCTAGGGCCCCGAAGGTGCCTCAACCCATAGGGTCCTCGCTCGGGCACCCTTACACAAAAGGGCTTTGTTGATACATAACAGCATAATGTGTCTCTGAGATCGACTGTAAGACATATATCATAGTTTACTGATATATAATTTATTTCGTTGTTAAAAACAATCTAGAATACAACGCCAAATATCAGAAAAATGAGCAAATTTAAATTCCCACAATCAAAGTGGTGATTTGATCAAAAAGGGGACCCCAGTCTCAGAAAACCACAGGGCTCCGGGCCCATCGTTAGGCCACTGCCGGTGCAGTGCCCAATCACCACCAGAAGGACCTCCCTGGAAACAAGTATTCTTCCGACTTTTGTGGGTTATCCTTGGTGTTTACACCGAATATATCCATCCACCCATAAGGGACAGATATAGACAGAATTTTGTTTAGAAATGGTGGAGACTACAGACATTAAAAAAATAGGTTGTTTTGGAGTAAACCTACAGTGACGTCATGCTCCCTTCTTTCTGGTCTTTTTTCTTTATTTTTTGGGGGTTGGGATAGACCCGTGTCTCCTGGACCCACCCTGAAACGATTGATTGAATGATTGTTTGATAATACTTATTTATATTGGTGTAAGGTACGGGTTTTACCCGTCTCCTTATATGTTATGCTACATGTTAAATTTTTATTTACTTCCTTGTTCATTATACCGATACAATTCCTATATAAATTAATGGTTAATTCATGTGGAACTATGTTTATCTATAAAAAGTTATGTGACATTACATAATGATTTCATAGACGCTTTGGTAGATTTTAGTGTAGCCCTGTGTTGCTTCGCAGTAGTAAGTAGTTCATAATCATAATTTATACTTCTTATTATATAATATTATTTAACAATGGTTTATACAAGTGTTTTGTATTTGTATTATATTTGACCTGATTATATGGGAGTTACTACTATTTCAATAAGAATACAATCAAAAACCGAAAGGTCCACTGATTAATCTCAGATAAGAAAGTATAATACATACTCCAAGTATTGAAATACACGCCATCGTGTTGGGATTCAATATTTCGACATTAATTATGTCATCATCAGGAATGAAAAATTATCCATATTAGCAAGCTTATATGCACTAGTACCAAAAGTGTTTAACCAATCAAAACATGCACCGAAAGGTCCACTGATTAATCTCAGATAAGAAAGTATAATACATACTCCAAGTATTGAAATACACGCCATCGTGTTGGGATTCAATATTTCGACATTAATTATGTCATCATCAGGAATGAAAAAATTATCCATATTAGCAAGCTTATATGCACTAGTACCAAAAGTGTTTAACCAATCAAAACATTACCTAGGTGACATAGCAGTGATTTAAACAAAAGATCAAAGCATTCTTACTCTAATGATCAAAGCTACCTACAAAAACAAAGAAAGCTCTTTTGAAGCTAAGCCCATTGTTAAGCAAAGGGTGTAGTCTACGTATAGGTGTATTTCAATACTTGGAGTATGTATTATACTTTCTTATCTGAGATTAATCAGTGGACCTTTCGGTTTTTGGAAAACGCTCCGTACTACTGAGCCAGATGTACATATAGCGACCACCAAATACCAAAAGTGTTATAGGAAACTACGCAAAACGGAACTTGACCTGGACTTTCTCGTTAAATGTCGCGATAACAAGGTATATCCAAAGTTTGTTAGATGGCGAAACCTGAAGTCGGCACGGAATAAACCACGGAATAAATATCATCGCAGCATTCTAAAGGACGAAATAAAGGACAAGCACTCTCAACTTAAGGTAAGCAAGAACAGTTTTTCAGTCTCTGACGACGCTCTCGAA